GTGCATGTCACTGGCACGGCCGCATGACATAGCGAGCGATAATTGCAGATTGATGTGCATGTTCTCTGTTGCACCGACAAAGTTTTCTGTTTTTTTTTCCGTTTCTGTTTGCAGTCTTCTTCCCACCGTTCGCTTTTTTTTTTAAACGAAGGACGAAGGATTAGCATCAACTTTGCAAGGAGTGAATAAGTGGAGGTAAGTTTGATTCAAGTATTTACTATAGGGCGTGTGTGCTCGTGGATAGATAGATTTATTGATTGGGTGAATGACTCAGTGGTAGGTAGATTGATAAATAGATAGACATATAGAGACATAGAGAGAGAGAGAGAGAGAGAGAGAGAGAGAGAGAGAGAGAGAGAGAGAGAGAGAGAGAGAGAGAGAGAGAGAGAGAGAGAGAGAGAGAGAGAGAGAGAGAGAGAGAGAGAGAGAGAGAGAGAGAGAGAGAGAGAGAGAGAGAGAGAAGAGAGAGGAGGGAGTAAATAGACAGAGAGGTAGATAGGCAGATAAATAGATAGTTAGACAGATGATGGGATAGATAGCTAGTTAGGTAGATAGACGGATAGAGATATATATAAGACTGATTGATTGATTGATTGATTGATTGACTGGTTGAAAGTCAGGCAGACAAACAGATATAATCGATAGGTAAGTATGTAGACAGATAACTAAATAGATAGAGAGAGATAAAGAGAGAGACAGCAACATCGATAGGTAGAAGAGAGTTACGCAAATAGATTTTGAGATTGGAGAAGAGAGAGAGAGAGAGAGAGAGAGAGAGAGAGAGAGAGAGAGAGAGAGAGAGAGAGAGAGAGAGAGAGAGAGAGAGAGATAATGCCAAACAAATATATATTTTTTTAATTTACATCATAATAATTTGCTATTATTTTTTGTATAATGTTATGAAAACGCTTGTAAATTAAAAACTAGTAACAGAAAGGATTTAGTCTACTTAAACAAATGATATTCAACACAAAATGTAAAAAAAGAAAGAAAAAGAAAAAAGAAAGAAAAAAAAAAAAAAAAAAACACACAGAAAAGAAACAAACAGAAAACAAAACACCCGCTGGGCATCTCACATAACGGGTTTCTTCCATCTCATGCTGAAGTTGCCAACATTTTCCATAACGAACTCTGTCCATAACTAGATAAGAATGTCGATGATAGCAAACAACATTTTCCTTGAATCAGCTGAGTCAATGACGTATGTTTTGTTCAAGGAATTATCTTGCCTCGTGTTTTACTTAAGGGCCTGTGTGTTAAATCCAGTGAATTATTTGCATAGACAGACATGCATATACACAGAAATAAATGGATATCTATCTATCTGCCGGATATATTTATCTATCTATCTATCTATGAGCCAATGACGTATGTTTTGTTCAAGAAATTGTCTTGCTTCGTGTTTTACTTAATTAAGGGCCTATGTGTTAATTCTATGCCAGGGCCGACCCAGTGAATAATTTGTATAGAGAGACATGCATATACACAGAAATAAAGGCATATCTATCTATCTGCAAGATATATAAATCTATCTATCTATCTATACGATTGATATGCATGTCTAGGCTGTTATATATGCATTTATTAACGTGTTTATGTATGTCCGTCAATTAAATAAACCAGCCACAAGACCCTAATAAGTGTGATGCCTAATTGCTCTTTGACATCTTTGTTACTATTAAGTGTAAATTTTGTAACCTTTGGGTGTAAACGGACTTTTCGTATTGTGTTGTTTCTTCATCATCATAACATCATCACCACTATCATTATCGTTTTATAGTATCATCATTGTTATTATTATTTTCGTTATGATCATTATTATTATTAGTGATGTTAATATTTTCATTCTTGTTATCATTATTACTACCATTCTCATTATTACATTAGTGCTACCTTCAATATATTTTGCTGTTATGATAAGGATTTTACTATTTTCATGAAGTTAGGGTAACTTTAACCATAATGGATATCATTACTATCATCATTATTGACATAATTATCAATACTCTTATTACTGTTATTGCTATTATAATAATAATAATAACAATAATGATAATGATAGATGTGAAGAATATCAGCAGTAAATAAATAAAATGATAATGATAACAACAACAATGATGATGATAATTTGAAGAATTACATTAAAATCACCTCTTTCTCAAGTAAACCGGTGACGTCCTTGTTTCACAATACTAATGAATCCTTTTAGAAATTCCGTATCCGGATTATAATGCGAAAAAACACTATTTTTTTATTACTACTATTATTGTTGTTATTCTTATTAGTATCCTCATAATCATCAGTATTATCAGTATTGATTATTATCTTTCATTATCTTTATGGTTAATGATGGTGTTATTGTTGATGTTATTATGATTATTATTATTGTCTTTATTATTATTACTTTTTACTTTTATCATTGTTTCATCAGTATCATCACTTTCATTATCATTATATTCTTAATGATCATTATAATCAAAATCATTATCATCATTATCAT